TATTATACTGAAACCATCTTACAATCATACTTTATATTTCATGGATTATAATTTTATACTTTATTTTATATATTGCGAAACTTTGCAACAAATATTTAATCTATTCCAATTACACGTAATCACCATTCCAATAAATTGTAACAAACATCATAAACGAAAGAAATGAAATGCCATGAAATTTGAAAAATTGTAATGACACTGTGAAACGAAATTTCTCAGATAGGCGTAGGTAGATTATATATCTCGTGAATCATAAGACGTTTGAACAATTGCCGGTGCACAAAGGAACAGTACAATCCGTCAAGATTATAAACGGCATTAGATCATCAGCTATAAACTTCACGAACTACCCATTTTACTGTTTCGTTTTGAAATACAGCGACTCGAAATACAGGGTTGCGATTACAATTCATTCGCATTTACTCGCATTTAACTACTACCTGACTGCGTGCAATGCATCTTAAACATCGGTTTATAGGGTTGTAAATATTTTCCGCACGTGCGCGAGGGTTGAGACGAAGAGTTGACTTTGCTTTGTGCGAATGAAAGTGGAAACACCCAGTGGCACTTGCCTCGTTTGAGAAGAAATCGACTTGTTTAAACTAGTAAAACGCGTATTTACTCTCGTGAGATTAATCTCTTGCGCTGGAATGACGTGCCACACATGTTGGGGAATTTTTTGCCCCAAAATTGTAATATTTTCTCAGTTTTAAGTATATTTCAGTAAAACAAAACAGGCAGGACAAATAATAAATTTATCACTTGTCAATAATTTTTATCCAGTGATATCATAAGGTAACAAGTTCAAAAAAAAAAAAAGCAACGAATTATTGTGTATACGGTTTGGTCACTCGTTATGGTCCGCAATCAGTTGCCAGCGCAAGTAGTTAATGGTATGACTTTTAGGAACAATGATGCACAAATGAAACTTCGAGTATCATTTTAAGAATTATACGATTAACCCATACTCTTTCAAACATGAGTTGCAATTTATATTGTCACGTTACTTTATTCGTTCTTTAAAAAAACAGAAAAAAAAATACATTTTGAAGGTATTAAATTTCGGGCCAAATGTAGGCTACGAAACGACGAATACGATTTCAATCACGAATCGATCGAGTGCACGTTAATCGAAGTTGATAAGTAATCGAAATTTCTTATCAATCTTATCAGGACGTTGTAAACAATTGCTCTTTGTAAACTAAAATACTACCATGAAAACTACGACAGTCTTTGAGAAGAACTAAAATTCCAGAAGCTTGTATTCGAGTGTTTTTGTACGAACTGAACTTATCTATTATACATCGTAAATATCGTATTTTAAAAAGTTATCTTAGATCATAACAGTTAGAAATCTAGGTGAAAAGTTGTAAAATTTAAAAAGTGAAAAAAAAATTATCTTGCCACCGCAAACAATATTATATTTTCTTTTTAAGTATCTCATACACTTCTTACACTTCTCGTTGTCTTCTTCGTCCTCTTTCCAAAATTTTAAACGCGCGGTATAAAATTTCCAAAGTCTGTTAATTATACGTATAATTAGATGGCAGAATCTAAGGAGAGGATCTCGAGTAACAAGGAAGGACCTAGACACGCTGCACTGAACGCGGAACGAAATTTTAGGGCAGAGTTCGTTCACACTAATCTAGATTCGGGATGGTGTCGTGAACGGGGAGGTTGGTACGGAACTGGCGTGCTTCCAGGTCTCTTCACGGTAACCAGAGAGAAAAGCGTGGCTCGAAGGGTACAGTGCACAGCTAGCGATTAATCGACGTTCGAGTTAAGATACAAATTGAGTCGCGAGATGCTGCAACGCCTCTGCGACAAGAACTGCAACGTCCCTCTTCTTCCCTCCTCTTTTTCTTTATCCTCTTTCTTTGAAGTAGATCGCGCGAATACTACGATCTGTCTTTATAACTAACGATTAAGATTTAGGCGTGTACATTTGAATCTGGACGAGACGAATACGAATAAATTTCTAGGCGTATGGAATAAAATTTCTCCGTTTGAGGCTCAATATATACACGTGCTTGACAGACATCGAAATTTAACATTTAGTATGCAAAACGTAGCGATATAAAAATGTAGTGATAATTCGTGCAGCATGATTAGTTTGCTTCTTTTTCCAAGATACGAATGCAATTACATTATCTCGGTTTTTTTAACCTAGTAGATAAAACAGCGTCTTTTTTTACCGTGAAAGAACATTATAAATTGAAACTTCTCGTCAAAAGTCTCTCATTAGAGTATGTACCTACGAAAATGATAATCGTTGTAACGTGATTTTTTTGCATTGATTTTGTTATGGGTTCACAAGACACGTGTCCAACCACCGATGATCGAAGACGATCCGAGGCAGAGTCTGCTGAAATTGCTATCGAGCCGAGCAAGTGGCTAGCTGGTTGCAATCAACGACAAAAGGGAACTTGTAAGGGTTCGTATTCGCGAAGTAGTCGGTGTATGCTTGACAGTTCCTTAGCTTGATAGTTTTATTTTCGTCTGGCAATTAGCGGGTTTTCACGGAACAAAAACCAGCGGCTTTGGATTGCCTCTCCAGCCACGTTGTTAGCTGTTTGGATATGATTTTCCTTAGCGCGCCTCGCTAAATGACTCGTTTCAACAACCAATCAACGTTATTATCTGAACTACGACGTAATGAAATAATTATTTCTACAATTAACATGGAATAACATGGTGTAACGCAGTTATAGTAACACGAATAGAGCGCGAATGTCGAATGAGAATCGTCAAGTCGACAACTGTGATTAACTAACAATTTTCCGAACACGATCAAGGAAACAGAATTCAAATAAAACAATTCTTCATCTTCCAAATACATATTGCAATAACTACCTTGGCACTGGTCTCTTACATATACATGCGTTCTTTAAATTTTTGTATTTCTGTATCTTTAAAAGTGCATAAATATCTGCAGTCTGCTAACGAAATTCTAATTACAGAGGGTTGAATTTCGCACGAGATGCGCGTAGAAATACGTAGCCTGGTGTCACGCGTGAATCATACGGAAGCCACCGTGAATCTATCAACGAGGAAGGGCGAACATGCAGCACACGCCGGGCTCGCCAGCGACCCTGAGAGAGCCCGAGTTATTGATTATATGAAAACACCGTAATTTTGCTCTGCTCTTACTCGTAACAGCCTATTATTAAACGCGTATCCTCGAGGCACGCCGAGGGATCTCGCGGCACAAGCGGAATTTTTATGCTCGTTACGCGTGTAACGAGCAGAGATCTCAAACTAGCGCGTGATTCGTCGATTCCTTTCGAACCAGGAACCTTGATGATCATTTTTCCACGAGAAGATTTCCAATCTTTCCGGGCCACTTGAAATTCAAATTTCACTACGTGAAATTCTTTCTAACGAAAATTTTGTTCAACTTTGTTGAACTGTTTCGTCCTGATGTTGCAAATGATCGAGTGTCTTGAAACTACACGCGTTTCCTAGAGATGATTCTAAAAAGACGCTGCAACACAAGCATCGAATTAATGATCAAGCAACTTTAAACTGGAAATTTTATCGCTAGAATCTAAAAGAAAACCGATCAATTATCGACTGGAACTAAATAATTTATTATATAAAATAATAAATAATTTTTAAATTATTTTTAAATTACATTAATTATAATTTTTAAATTAAATTAATTATTATTAAATAAAAATAATTTAATTTGTTATATAAAACTTGCATAAATCATTATTAAATTAATGCCCTTCGAAATTGTCCAATACAAATTTTATTGCTGTACTCTTCTATGAACATTATGATCTTACTCTCTCAAATCCTTACTATCATAACGCAGAAGCAAAGTGATAAAAAATTGATTTGTAACTTTTATAAATTAAAAATTCTATACACATGAGACAAGCGTGTTTCGTGAGATTTGAACCATTTCCCGTAAATGTACAAAGTACGAAGCTTTCCTATTTCTCTGCATCAACATCTCTGATGGGATTATCGTCTTGATGTGCTTCGTGCAACTACTAATGTGATGCCCATATAGAGGTGTATTAAATGAGGCAAAAAAAACTCAAATATATACGTCTCAGTTTGTAATAATTTCCACTCATCTGTCTTTTTATTTGCCTTTGTACGAAATTTTTGAAATTGTAGAGACTTTATGGACAACCTGTATAGTTCTAGCAAACGTTGAAACAAACGACAAACACGATTAACATCGATTTTCCCGTGACAATTTCCCCATGCGACAGAGGTGTATTAAATGAGGCAAAAAAAAACTCAAATATATACGTCTCATTTTGTAATAATTTCCACTCATCTGTCTTTTCACTTGCCTTTGTACGAAATTTTTGAAATTGTAGAGACTTTATGGACAACCTGTATAATTCTAGCAAACGTTGAAACAAACGACAAACACGATTAACATCGATTTTCCCGTGACAATTTCCCCATGCGACAGAGGTGTATTAAATGAGGCAAAAAAAAAACTCAAATATATACGTCTCAGTTTGTAATAATTTCCACTCATCTGTCTTTTCACTTGCCTTTGTACGAAATTTTTGAAATTGTAGAGACTTTATGGACAACCTGTATAGTTCTAGCAAACGTCGAAACAAACGACAAACACGATTAACATCGATTTTCCCGTGACAATTTCCCCATGCGACAGAGGTGTATTAAATGAGGCCAAAAAAAACTCAAATATATACGTCTCATTTTGTAATAATTTCCACTCATCTGTCTTTTCATTTGCCTTTGTACGAAATTTTTGAAATTGTAGAGACTTTATGGACAACCTGTATAGTTCTAGCAAACGTTGAAACAAACGACAAACACGATTAACATCGATTTTCCCGTGACAATTTCCCCATGCGACAGAGGTGTATTAAATGAGGCAAAAAAAAACTCAAATATATACGTCTCATTTTGTAATAATTTCCACTCATCTGTCTTTTCACTTGCCTTTGTACGAAATTTTTGAAATTGTAGAGACTTTATGGACAACCTGTATAATTCTAGCAAACGTTGAAACAAACGACAAACACGATTAACATCGATTTTCCCGTGACAATTTCCCCATGCGACAGAAACGGTGACGACGTTCGTGCCTCGGGATTGAGTACAACGTTCACCGTGACGTCGAGGAGCTTACCTCATCGAGGTGCATTATAAAGTCAAAGTGCAACTCATTCTCGGCCTCGTTTTACGCAATCGTCGTCGTGTTCCTACATTCCTAAGAAAGAACGTCGTACGGACGTGGAACGCGTTCGAGATTAAAATTCGTGGACATTTTTGGTTGCGTTGGCCGGAAACGGAAACCACATTGACGCAAGATGCACCGACGAGCCGTGAAACGTGACTTTCGTAGACTTTCCCTCGCTCTTTCAACGACGATCCGTTTGGAACGTGCTTTGCAAGGTGACGTTGTGTAACTTTATGGGATTCTGTGGAATTTTCATCGTTGCGTAATAATCTAGGAGTGAACGTCTCGCGCTTGAACAAAGGAATCGCTAATGAAACGACTATCAGAGATTATAAATTATTATCAGACTGCAAATTTTCAAGTTCATCGACGAGAAAGGGAAGTTTTAATTACGTTGTTGCATTGTATTTGTTGTTATTAAATAATTGCCGTAGAAATAGAAAAATTTAACGACTTTCCGTAAAATACACAGATAAATAAAACATTCGTATCTTCTTTATTGTATTATAGTGATTTTATTCGTACGAAACTTGGTAATTTCCTCGATATTAAATCGTAATTCTCTGATCGAAAAAAAAAAATCTTGTAAAGTGAAACAAATGACAATAGGATTCTTAAATAATTCATCAACGTTCAATTACTCACGTTAGACATTTTATTAACAAAAATATTTTATTAAAAGAACGAATATTCCAACATTCTATATACCTAATATTTTATTTAAAAGAACGAATGTACCAACATTCTATATACCAGTTTCTCGCAAATGGAAATGAATTTTCTTCGAAGAGGTGACTAACGAGCTACAGAGGTGATTACCTCTCACGCATTGTAGTTTCCTACCTCCGGGGGTTAATCGTCGCGAACGGAGCAAAGAAACGGAAGATTTCCCCGTGATTAAGGTTCTAAGAAAACGGAGGAGAAGCAAGTTCGCTTCATCGCGAATCAACGAGGCACGGAATTCTTGCCAATTCGCGTGACAAGACGAATCGTTGGAGTTGTCGCGGATGGAAAATTTGCCTGGTTCGCATGTTACACGCCGATGCAACTTTTGGTCGGTCGTATCGAGAAAAGGCGATCAATTTTCACGATGAACAACTTTGCGGACTGCCGAGTCTTGGCAACTGTCTCAAAAGAGACATATAAACTCGGTTAACGTCAAACAGGTTCGTAATTTTTGAGAGAACGTTTCACGTGTGTCGACTAAGGACTCGACAGCTGGCAAATCGTGCTGGTACAAGTTGCTCGCGAAAGTGTGCGAGCTTTATTAACGTTAGAACTATAATCAATTTTGTATTTAAAAAATAATGCTTGTAACTTTACATTTCATATTTCATATTTCTCAGAAAACTGCACGAAGGGAAAATGGTGCTTTGGAAAACTTCTGAGCAAGAGCATATCTAAGTGCTTGACACAAATATATATCTCCCTCATACAAGTACTATATTCGTTCTATCAAAATTTGCAGATGTTAAATTTATGAATTCAACTTGTAAACTTACTTTAAACGAAATTATAACAGTTTCATTTAAAAATGTTTTTAAATTCTAAATACTCTAGTGATTCTTACAAATCCAGAATAATGAAATTATTTTAATCAAATATATTCTGCATTTTGGAGATACCTAAGTTCAGTGAAAATTTTATTTTTAAAAGCTTAGTTGCTTATTTTACTAAAGTACAACGACAGTACAAAATTTTGTCAATACGTGAAAAAACGTTGTTAAAATTAACTCGAATTTTCTAAGAATCGATTATTTTCTGATATGAACATTTCTGTAGATATTAAGAACATAATTCTGGCGGAGAGACGTTAACACGAGTGTTCGCAAAGCGCAAATGTCGTTCGACCGGGGTTTCGCGAATTCTAAAGAAACGATTTGGCAGCTTTCCCGCGTCAGAAGGCAAGGTGAGATCGAGTTCTTAAAAACAAAGCAGTTGACAACCTGTCTTCTTTATCTTTACTCAGAAGAGGCGCGTTACCCCCGAAGAAAAACTATAACTCACTCTTTTCTGCAAATTTTTAGATTTTCTTGGTAGAGAATACAATGTGTTATTTTATAATGATTTCGAGGAATTCGGACTTTAAAACAAGAACAAGAACACAAAAACAAGAACTCAATAAAAAGATCTCCTTCTATTTTTTGTTGTATTTAATTTTTATATCCATTCTACTACTTACTGTCAATTGTAATTTTGAACAATCAATTAAAAAATCAGTCAAAAACTCTCAATGTAATTTAGCGTTTGAAGTGTAGATTGTAAATCATTCTAATTTTCATCGATATCATTAAAAAAAGAACATGTATTTATATATTCTACAATATTTTTTAATAGTATCGCCTAATAATGATCTTCAGATTAACAGAGATAGAATTCAATGATTCAGAACTAGGAAGCGCGTTGATCGCAAGCAATCGGCTCTGATAAAGAAGACACGCGGCCAAGAAACTACAGTGGCAAAGTTCAAATTTAGCAGCACGTGCTGGATAATGATCAGTTTGAGAAAAAGTCGGCGGCAACACGCGACGCCTTCATGTTATAATTAAACGAACCGATCGCACAGAATTCGAGGCGAAATCGTGCTGTAACGAATGATTCTGATTGATACTTTGACGGAGAGATAAAGGAAATCGCGTGTTTATTTAAATGTTACGTACTTTGCCAAAGAAAATGTTCATGAAAAATAGAATGATTTTATTGTTCGATGATGAACAAATGAATTAGGACATTCTTTCGGCGTCGAAGCATAAAATTCTCCAAGTATAATATATAAAGTGGAAGAAATTAAAATGTTTAAATTTTGCAAAGGATTAAACGGCTAAAATTTTACATGTACAAGCTTGGAAGTTCGAACTTTCTTTAAAGGGTTAAAAAATTCACAATGATACAGTAATTATATTATAAATATAGACAATTCTGAAAACTAATGAAGCGAGCCAAGAGTTATCAAATTAATCAACTCCATTTTCTATAAGTTTCTCAACTTTGTGTAACAACGACACTCTCAGAGATGCGAATCTGCACAAAAGTACTACAGTCAGTCTATTTATAACTAGATAAACTAGATATTAATTTCAGGCGGCGTCTTCAAAATTCAATAAAACACTCGACGAGTTCAACATCATTTTAGAAAGCTATCTTCGAACGTACTCCGAAAATAGCAACAGGATCAATATATTATAATATATTCGTAATAAACTCGACTGTCGTCTAAAAATCAACCGTTCGCACGCATTTCACGCACTTGCAGTGAAAATATCGAAAGTTGAGTCACTTGTGAACGCGGGGGCGTGGATTTTTGTTGGCGCCGCTTCGAAGAGCCACGATTTAAAAATGCAGGCTACTCTGTCGGACGAGTTTGCGTTGGACTGGGATCAAACGCGTCTAAATTCGACGACGTCACCACTGACGTTCTCCACCAAAGACAACTAATAATTCTTTGTAACAATGACGTCACTTCTCGTCGAGCCTCCTGCCAATTCTCCGATGAGCTAATCGTTCCTGTAAACGATCATCATACGACGGAACTTGTGGCAAACGTTCAAGAAAGAGATTCAAGGAAAATCATCGATTTGCTCTTAATGATGATTAATTTTTAGAACGCGATGCAATTAAAGACACACGTGAACGTTTGAATATAAATTTTGGTATTTTAGAAAGAGGTTGCCATCTCGAAGGATCTCTCCAAACAATTTCCAAATCTCTTCACCAACAATCAATAGTAAAATATTTAAACTTTTATTATTAATAGATAAAATTTATTAATAATAAAATTAATAAAATATATAAAATAATAAATTAATAAAATTTATTATTAATAAAATAAAATTCCCTTTAAAGATTAAAGACGAACGTAAATATGCGAATATAAATTCTGTGTAGAAACGAAAGATTTTAATAAAGAAAAAATGACAATTGAAGTATTTTATAAGATATTTCTTCCTACTGATCCTTCTGATTCATTGATGTATTATAATTTTTGTTCTTAATGAATATTAATCTTTTCTTTTAAACAAGACAAAATTAAAGATAAAACAAATGGAACTTGTTAAATTTCCATGTAAATTTTGTAGAAGCGAAGGGGAAGCGTATTTTATGGATAGTTTCTTTCTTTTGGCTCTTTGGTTGTTGAGGAAAAAACACCGGCGAAAATGGCGATAACGCCATAACTATTAATAGAAAGAACCAGTTACATTCCCTGCGGCGATATTTGCAAAAATAGACCACTCGAAATCGTGCGACGTTCCACAAATCGAACCGCAAATCTTCCCTGAACATCGCTACTTCCGATCACAATGAATAGGTTTGAGTATTCGAAAATTGATTTCACTTAGATTTTTGAATATTCACTCGTGGAAAATTATAAAAGAAAACTTTACAAATTTGTGAATCAATTTGGAGTGAATAAAATAAAATTTAAGTTTCAGGCAATCGGGAAATCAAGCCAAGAAAAATATCACGACAGAAAAATTTTCGATGTTGCATCGATCGCGAGTGGACGAGAGATCCAGATTCCAAGTATGAGGATAAACTTTTGGGATAGCTCGCAGGTAGTTTCGACCCTATGGATAATCGACGGGCCTGCAGGTATAAGGGATACTCAATAAATCATGACGATTCTATGCCCAACTGTTGTTGGACACAGGAGGCAGATCATTTCGATTCATACTTAGGTGCTCGAGCGCACAATATACCGAGGAACGTTCGATAAATCATTTCGACTCTATAACTAGGAGCACCTAAACTCACGGAATTCCACGAAGGTTTGTTAGATCATTTCGATTCATGGCTAAATGATAACAACCACGTAACGTCGATAAATCGATGAGCTTAGATAATGGAACCATTAATCAACCGTTTCATTCAAAACTCAAATTGCCATAATTGGCAGTTTATAACAAAGTTGCACTATTACAGCGGCGAAGAACTAGATTTTCATGATTTTGAACTTGTTAGTCGGGTATAAGACGAGTTAACTCGTTACTCGGATTGTTAATTTCTTGGATTTCTTCTGTATACTTCGTTTTTATATTATACTTGCACGTGTAACGAGCTCTAACTTGCTTTCACTGCAAGTTGAGAAACGCGATAACAAAGTAAAGATAAACGATACTTTTGGAAAGTGAATCAGTATTGATTCATGATGATAAGTACGATAAAAAAATAGAGAGGTTATAAAGTTAACTATCGAAACAAAGATCAAGTATTTCTTTTCGTAATGTTAAAAAAAATAAACATTTTATGATATAAATTGATCGAAAAGAATAGCAAATCAAATGTATTAATTACAACGACGAGTATTACATAGATTCTCACGTACGCGAAAGTCTGAGTTGCCAAATTATCGGAAAAAATAAAAGTACAAGTAACAGGGAAAGGACATATGAAATATCGAAACGAGCTTCAACTTCCGGTACGTCGTGCCCTCTACCTAACAAGACGAGTTTACTACCTTACCGACCATTCTATCGATCTCACCAGCGGAAGAGAACAGCGAAGAAACGTCGATGCCAACGATCATCAGCAGAGATCGCTATCTTAGCAACACGTAGTTCGTGATTTTATGGACAGCGTAGCACGTTAATCACGATAACGATTAACTCATGTTAACACGACAGATAACGAAACCCAAAGGAACCAACGACAAACTCGATAGAATTCGAGCAACTTCACAGCGGAATCGTTTCTATTTTTCGCCAGCCATTTTCGTCTCTGCACCATTTTCATAAATACACGTCGCAATAATACAGGGATGTATCGATCGTCGTGCTTTATAACAAGATTTAACGGTGTTTCCCGGCCCGCGAATTTTAATTATTCCGCGTTATCGCTCCAACACCTGCGACCTCATGTCGAATGGTCGCCTGAAGGTTTTTATCGGCCAGTTTCGCGCCGAAGATTATACGTTGTTCGATGGAAAATTTTCATAAATCCGTGTTATCGGCCGACGGGACGACTGGCCAGAGACGTCATGCTTATTTGAATTTCAATTACATCCGGAGAAATGGAATTGATTCGCTTGGTTATTAATATTGTCGCCGTTTGTGGTGAATAACGATTTCTGGCCGTTTCTCATTTTACATCCAATGATTTTATTTCAACGAGTTCGATGTGTAGTCTGCTTGGACATTGATTTTATTCTATAGACGCTAGTCCGATTCAGATTGAATCAGAACCGTTTGCAATTTTTAACGTCTTACATTTCTAATAAAACTAGAAAGTTTGATAATAGATTTTATGACAAGTTGATAAAGTAATTAAATTTCGTTTAAACATTTCTATCTCAAAATAAATTCTGAGCAATCCGAATTCGGTTGTCACAGAGTGTAATAGATTCAATATCCAGTCTGCCTAAAAAATGGTCTTATTTCTGAATTGCACGTGATCAGTGATTCACTGATTGCGCATCAATGATATGTTTATCTATAATAAGCCTTATCAAATTTATTTTTTATTTCTATTAAAAAGAAATTATATGGCAATTTCATTGTGTAAGTTATTCGAGTGTTTGTATATCAATACATGATTGATAATTTATTTAAGTAACCAGAGTGACGGATCTTAATCTCAAGAGAGATTAATCTCAAAATTGTCTTTATCTATTTTAATTAACAGCTGGTTGTGTAATATCGTCTAGCAATACATTTTTTTTTTCAACTAAATTCTCTCGAATTATGCGTTAGTATTTATCAATTTCTTCGATCAACGACTTTTAAAATTCTTTTCAATGATTTTTCAATGATAGCAAAAAAGTTAATCAAATTAGAGTCTTCATAAATTAATCAATGATTTTTCAATGATAGCAAAAAAGTTAATGGAATTAGAGTCTTCATAAATTAATCATAAATTAAAGGTGAGATGGAAATATTGATATTCTTAATGAGATGAACGATCCTCAGATTCTTTAGACAATAAATTCGCGAATTAATCTCAAAACTCAACCTCGAATTTTATATATCTACATAAATAATTAATGCTTGCGCAGTAAAAGAGAATAATTAACTAAATTCTTCTGAGAAATTAAAATTTAAAAATAAAACGTTGACTTCTTCGACGAAATCAAAGACTCTACGATTCTTCGAGCAATGTATCCGCAGATAAATTTCGCCATTAATCACCCTGAATTGAACGCGAAAATGACGCAAC